ATTCACCACACAGAATTTTACACAGTAGCTTCATATAGAAAGCAACTGTAAATTCTAAGTACATTTTCTTTACTCAAAGCTCGTTTGATCGTTCAAGGTAAGATACTTTTGTGCAAAGTTGTTTGTTTCCTTATACTTTTATGTTCAGTAATTTATACATGAATTGTCAATGGGCCTTCGGGTTCTTTAGAAAGAGATAAGAGATCCTTCGGGAATCTAAGATGACCTAAATGGGTGTTTCGCTTGGTCACCGAGATACTCCATAAGAGAATAGTGGTATGAAGTGTTATTTTATTGCATATAATTGTGTATGGAAACTGCACGCATCTTACTGAGTTTTTTCAAAATACTCACTCTTACAATTTTTACATGCTAGTTCAAGTCGATTGGAGATGTGAGGGGGATGGTGCAGCGGATTGCCAAAGGATTTCACCCTACGAGAATATTAAGTTTTACCGCTTTTCTTTTAAAATTTATTAGTTCGTTTTGTCCAATAACAGTAGTTGATAATGCCAAAATTATTTTTAAAGACATGATTTATGATTCGAATTTAAATTTATCAATGTTTTGTTTATTTAGAAAAATAGAATTTTACAGTTCCGCATTTTAAGTACATGAAAATTAATGTTGGTAACGCCTCAAGATATATGAAATTTTGGGGCGTTACATTCAGTCTCTTCGTTTTTGTGGAATGCAATCTCCCTGCCCAAACAGGACTACAATCTGACCCTATTGGTTTTAATCTCCATTCAGCTTCTTCTACGGTTCTACCCTCTTGCTTCTGACCTCAGAACCCCAATTGGTTCTTCTGTGTTTGTTCTGTTGCTCATTCGGACATGGTGGCTTGGCAGCTCCATGCTAAAAGAAAGCAATTATCTTCGGCTGTTCTAACCCGTGGATTCCTGGAGTAAAAAATGAAAATTACAATATAGAAAAGGTAAATAGGTAATCAAGGGTATACCAGTGTACATCATTTTACCATTTGAAAATGAGTTCTGGTAAGGCGATGGCGCCTTCGTGGTGGTGGATGTGACCTTCGGGGTCTTTCGTGGTGGTGGAGAGATGGGCGATGGAGTGGGGAGCCTCCTTCCTTCGTGGTGGTGGAGCGAAGGGCGACGGCTTCGGGAGCCTTCTTTTGTGGTGGTGGAGCGAAGGGCGACGGCGTCGGGAGCCAACAATTTGGGGGAATGAAGGGTTTGAATTGGGTTTAATTGATTTGGGGGTTGAATGGGGGGAAAAACGTGCCTTGAAAGGTTAGGGGCATGTTTTATAAATTTTGCAACAATTCAAATTTTCTGTCAAAATATCGTCAAAATCTCGCCACATCATCATTATGGATTCCTTGCTGTATGCTCTGATGTACCAGTATACTTTCCCATATATATATAAACAATTTTTTAGAATAAGAAGTTAAACGAATCTTTTTGCAATCTTAAAACAAACTCTCGAAAAATAAATTCAAAATTAAAAAAATAAAACTGAAATATAATCTAAACTGGGCTTTAAAGATTGGAGATCTAAATATCATAAAGAATTGAATGAAAACCTACGATTTCCTTAAAATGTAGGGGTCATCAAATTACCAAATAAACATTCTTGTTTGCGCCCCATTTTTTTCAAGAATTTATTTTTACAAAATTCATTTTCAACTAAACATTCTTTTATAAAATAATTATACAAGTATTTTAAAAAATTTATTACCTTTTAACAACACATTCTCCAAATAATCACTATTACATAATACATTTTACCCAAAAATGAAGATTAGATGCCAATATTTTAATAGTATTATTGGGGAGACAATTCTTATATCAATCTAAGCGGTAAAAAATGAATGGTTTTTTTTTTTACAATATTGAGACAAAATAATAATTGATTTTATATTCTTTAATTTTAATCATGCTACGTGTACTTCATCTTTTATGTCACTATTTCTATTGTGTCACGTGATAGTACACCATTAGTTAGTTTAAAAAAAAAAAAAAAACTTTTTCTGCCTACAATTTTTTTAAATCATGGGTGATGTCAAAAAGAGCAGAGGCGGCCGTGAGACATTGCGTGAGTTGAGTGACCACATATGACTTCATCATTGTAAGATCACCAAATTTTTTTTTGCTATTTGTGTGTGTGTATTTAAAATATTTATTAATTTTAAAGTTAAGTTAAAGAGTACAATGTTTATGAAAAAAGAGTCTATAAATGAAGATTTTTATTTAACATTGTTATATTTCTTATTCCTAATTACATATCATACCAATACATTTTTATTAAAGCAAGAGAAATGATTCAGATGGCTTATGCTTCTTTATAGCTAATTTTAGCGTGTTGTACTTAACTATTTTCATTTATGAATTATTTTGTTATAAATTCTATGCATTTGACTTAGTATGATATGCAATTGCATAAAATACTAAAACTATAAATGATATAATTAATTAGTTATAATTTTCTTAAATAGTATACTCCTTTAAATAATATCAAGGAAAAGGGAAAAGAGGAAAAAATATAATTTGTAGGAAGAAACATTTTGATGAAAATGCCACTGCGGAGGACACGGAGTCACTTTAAGATTCTTTCATAATCAGTTATTTCCTTTATATAGTAGATCAAGCATTTAGTTCATTTGAACGAAAGTTCAATCAATTCAATTCATATGGAAAAAAATTTGGATTTCTATTTTCTTTTGACAAGTTAAACGCATTGGATTATGTTAATTTGAAAGCATATTGTGATCGTCTTGATATTGCTCTAAAACATGTAAATTTTTGCAATCTTGATGGCAAATATTTGTTTCAAGGGTTAAAAATTTTGCGAAATCTTTTACCAAAAGAAACAAAGACCTTTTTTGATATATTAACTTATTTGAAATACCAAAAGAAACAAAGACAACTTTTGATATATTGATTTATTTGAAAAAATTGAATCGTTTTTTTGAATACATTTATTATTTATAGAGAATTACAGACAATCAATGTTATTGTTGTATCTACCGAAAGATTTTTCAAAATTGAAGTTATTAAAATCTTATTTATAATCAACCATATTTTAAGAACAATTGAATGACCAATTTTTAATATCTATTGAAGAAGATTTGCTAGGAGCGAAAGTTTAATTACTTAAAGTTTGAATACATTTAGTTTGTTTATGGAAATGCGAGCATAAATATTTTTACATGATTTAAAGTTTACACATGGTATTTGATGTGTTTCTGATACCAATGTTTTCTCTAATGGAATTGCACAAAAAGTTTAGAGCCTTGGATGGTTCTTTGTTGATGACATGAATTTTGATGAAGTTTTGGAGGTACTTAAAACTTAATTTATACTTTTCTTATTCACGACATTTTAAAAAAGCAGTATTAAATATTATAATTTTGCGATTATATAATATAATTGAAATAATTTTTTTATTATTTCATAAGGGGCACCATTTTAAAATTTCGTACAGGACATCCAAAATTTTATGGTCGGTCCAAAAAAAAGAGTTTATTTAATTTTAATCATACTACGTGTACATCATCATATTTTAAATCACTGTTTACATTGTGTCACGTGACAGTATATACTATTAAACAATTTAATTTTTTTTTCTGACTACACTTTTTGGAAAACATGGATGATGTCGAAAAGAGTATACATCAAAAAATGTAAACATAGCATTATTACTTTAATTTTAAATGTACATTTGGGCTCCATTAAAAATGTGGTTTGAAATATTGATATTTTGAATAATGTGCAGTTAGAAAATATGAAGAAATTTTAAATTTACTTGTAATATTATTTTATTAAAGAATGTGATTAAAAATAAAAAAAAGAAAAAAATGTATTTTGACAAAAATAAAGCCCAAACAAGGGCTAAATCAAGATTCTCTTAGAGCCCGTTTGGTGCACATTAAAATGAGATAATGCATTTTTTTGAAGTGATGTGATGGAGAATATGTGGTTGAAAATGAAGGAAAAGTTATTGATGTGATGGAAAATATTATTTTATTAAAAAATGTGTGGTTGAAAATGAGTAGAAGAATAAGAATGAAAAAAATAATGTAGGTCAAACAGGGGCTTANACTTGTTATGTTATAAATTCACCATGTTTCCCTTTCTTGCTACAGAAGTATATAGCATCTTTAAAGGGATTTTATGTCCTCAATTTGATGAGTTGGAATAATTTACTCGAAAATTTCACCATTTTGATGTTTTCTTTGTACCTTTTGCTTACAAGGTTCAAAAATTGTACTGTTTTTGTCCATCATCCATACAATTTGCCTTCATTTGTGGACATGTCAACAACCATAATTGAAAGAATGCTCGATTTATGGCTAGGCAAATCGAAGTTCTCTTTGAATAAACCATGGTGTTCTGTATTTCATTACACGAGATAGAGAACCATTATGCATATATGTATATATACATGCATACAAAAATATTGCTTGTGTTGCTTTCACAAGAAATTTCGTGTTCGGTACAGATTAAAATCGAAAAATTAGCCATTATTGTCGAATTTTATTAGACGAGTGAGATCCAATAACGGCTATATTTTCAATTTTAATTAGATTTTAATTTTTACCAAACGAGCACTCAATAAAACAATCAAGAAACTCTTAAAATATTGTTCCTTTTTTTTTTGGGTAAAACAAGGGTATTTAAAAATTATTATTTTTTTCTAATTTTTTTAATAAAATAATTTTACAACTCCTTCCAAGAAAGTATGCAAGACCCCTCACGGTGACAGCATTATTTGACACAGGAGCGGCATGCAGTTGAATTCAAATTTGATACCGTAATTTAAAAATGTGTCTAGGTTCATCCCCCCAACATTGACCTACCCAAATCCTGAAGTATAAAAACAAAATCCAAGATCATAAAATCCATTCAAACTCTAGCACTAGCATCTATAACTATTCAATTCTTAGTACAATTGTGAACTTTTTAACTTACCAAAATACCCCTACTGCAACTTTCTCTTGCAATTATATTTCCCAACATATCCCTTTCTCCCACCAAATGGCTGCCATGGCTTCTCTTTACCTAAAAAACCCGGCCCCTTTATCCCATTCTTTCGCCCAACCAACGAAAACCCATTTTGCGCCACCTCTTACACTCCGCCTCCGTCACGGTCCCGCCTCGAAAACCAAATATCCGACCCGGATATCCGCCTCGTTGATCAACCCGGATGGAGGGAAACTAATCGAACTCTTCGTTGAAAAATCAGAAAAGGACTCCAAAGTAGAACAGGCCTTAGGGCTACCCAAGATCAGGCTCTCGAAAATCGATCTTCAATGGGTTCATGTTCTCAGCGAAGGCTGGGCCAGTCCATTGAAGGGGTTTATGCGTGAGTCGGAGTTTCTCCAAACGCTTCATTTTAACTCGCTCCGGCTCGAAAATGGGTCAGTTGCGAACATGTCGGTGCCGATTGTGCTCGCCATAGACGATGCTCAGAAGGGTCGGGTCGGATCTTCTACCAGCGTGGCGCTTGTGGACGATGAAGATAGCTTGGTAGCCATCTTGAGCGAGTAAGGGCATTTTAGTCATTTCACACCTTCATTCTCATTAATTTCTTCTTTATGTCAACAGTTTTGAATTGCATTATTAGAATTTCCTCGGTGTTCAATTTGAGTTAGATTTGTTGTCCATTTTTCTGTCCAATGTCCAATTAATTATCGACAAACCATTTTAAATTAATGGGTTCAACTTTTCTCTAATTAATACTTATACTTAAAAATAGGTGATGATAGTAAGCCCTGTTTGACCTTGGTTCATTTTTCTCGTACATTTTATTAATAAAATAATATTAAATTAAAAAATTCTCCTTACTTTTTAACTACGTCTTCCAAAACATACTATTCCAAAATCATTTTTTTCTTTCAAATAGTGGAGCTCAAACAATGTCTAAATTATATAGCAAAAATTGGAGAGCAGATTTCAACTCGTTCAATTTTGATGCTAGTTGTTTTTAAGGGTGAATAGTGTGACAAATTGTTTTCCTATTCCAGATTTTTATGTGAAATGACTAGGGCATATTTATTTATTTGAGGGCATTTTGGTCTTTTAACTTTCTTACTGGTACATGCTTGGAGTTGGAATGAATTTCTACGCTGATTAAGCAAAAATGAGTTTGTCAGTTAGTTTAGTCGGTTTATGGGGCTAAATGCACCCTTAGTGCTGATCAGATAGTTGTATGCGAGGATTGCCCTAGTTTGTGGTATAAAATGGGATTATGGAGTAATGGAATTGATAAGTTTTCAATGTTATTCATCAAAATTTTGTTTTTTGGCACTAAGTTTAGGACCTAATAATAATGTAATGAATGGAAAATGTTTTTATGTTCATTTTTTTCTTTTTAGCGGTATTAAACAGAACTCCTAGAGTTCTTGGTCCATTGTTTCTCATAGAAGCTAGCTCCGATAACTTCCCAAAATGTTGGTTTTTACATTATGTTATTCTACGCTTGCGATACACATTGATAGCATAAAATATGTGACATGTCGAGAAATTTGAATTTGTTATATTGATTTTAACTGCAGCATTGAGATTTACAAGCATAATAAAGAAGAAAGAATAGCAAGAACTTGGGGAACCACTGCACCTGGTCTACCTTATGTCGAGGAAACTATTAGCCGTGCTGGAAACTGGCTGATTGGTGGTGATTTGGAGGTTTTAGAACCGATCAAGTACAATGATGGTCTTGATCGTTTCCGTCTTTCCCCAGCACAACTACGAAACGAGTTTGAGAAACGGAATGCAGATGCAGTATTCGCTTTCCAGCTCAGAAATCCGGTGCACAATGGACATGCTTTATTGATGACTGACACACGCAGACGGCTCCTTGAGATGGGATACAAGAATCCCATCCTTTTGCTTCATCCGTTGGGAGGGTACACAAAGGCAGATGATGTTCCACTTCTTTGGCGAATGAGGCAACACGAGAAGGTTCGTAAACTCTCAAGTCTAATATATTGACCTCACCTATTACAATCTTTTGGTAATAAAATACAAATCGAGCCCCATTCTTTAAACCTCATTTTTTTCCCAAATTCATTTTTAACCACGCATTCTCCCAATAAAATAATTTTGCATGTAATTCCAAAACTTTTCCTTACTTTACCACACATTCCCCAAAAAATTCACTTTTTACAAAATCTATTCTCAAACAAGGATTGAGTGTTTGGTATTGACGATGGATAGTACCAGACAATACTAAAGAAAGAAAAAAAGATAAAATTTTGTTCATTATATTGTCTAGTACTATTGGTGCACAAAATGGGAACTAAAAGTTCGTAATATCTAATATGAAGATTATTGCACATATTTAAGTGCGAGTCCTCTAGCTGAATTCTGTTCCTATAACCTGCTGTTGTATATAGTAGACTGAAATCAAAAGCTCTGTTTTGATGTTGAAAATTAACTTTTGTAGAGCTACCTTCATGATAATGCGTTTTTCTAAAAAATTTCCCTTGTTTCAACTGATGATAGTTTAAAGGGGATGGGTGAATATATCCGACTACGTGCTGCAATATATTCAATATTTGATTGTAGAAAATAGTTGGATAGGTATTGATTCTATATTGTTATTGATTGTTGTTATAGGTGCTTGAAGATGGTGTTCTTGATCCAGAGACGACAGTAGTTTCTATTTTCCCATCTCCGATGCACTATGCTGGACCTACTGAGGTACAATGGCATGCTAAGGCTCGAATAAATGCAGGTGCAAACTTCTACATCGTTGGTCGGGATCCAGCTGGCATGAGCCACCCACTTGAGAAAAGAGATTTGTACGATGCCGATCATGGTAAGAAGGTACTCAGCATGGCTCCTGGACTTGAGCGGCTCAACATTCTGCCATTCAAGGTAGATAAACATATGCATGGCCTTACATATTCATGATGTTCTTATTATGGTTTCAAGTCTTCTCTGGAAATATGAAGTATTTTTTAATCTAATTAGTTGTTATGGACGAATGGTAGGTCGCTGCATATGACAAGACTCAGAGTAAAATGGCATTCTTCGATCCATCAAGGCCTCAAGATTTTCTGTTCATATCTGGCACCAAGGTATCTCTTACTGACGGCTCTCTCGATAATTCCTCTCTGCAATCTGCCACTCGCCAGACAAAAAAACTAACACACACACACACATGAACTATAAATTAAGAAACTAAAAATGAAATAAACAAGTAAAAATTCTTTCTAAACCAAGACATAAATTTGAAGCGAGATAGTTTGGAAAAGTTGCTTTTAATGCTGATACTAGAATTGTTACGAGGTGACTGTATCGTAATTTTCTGGTTGGAGGATAACCCTAATACAAGACGTGAAATTTCTTACTTTTTGTTTCAATTATTTTTTTAATGTTATGTCTAAATGATTTGTGTTTTTCCAGATGCGTACGCTTGCGAAGAACAGGGAGAACCCTCCAGACGGATTTATGTGCCCAGGTGGTTGGAAAGTCTTGGTGGAATATTATGATAGTTTGAATCTGGTTGAAAACGCAAAGGTGCCTGAACCTGTACCAGCTTGAAACTTCGTAGAATCCTAAAATTTTTTTGTCTTCAATGATAGATTGCGAAGAGTTTGGCTAGATTTGCTCGGGTGCAACACTGCAATATTTTGGCTCAACCTGTATATATATGTATTGAGTATCGTGCTAATGATGGCACTTGGAAGGCATGTTTTAAGATTAAAATGCATTGCTGTTGAAAGGCTAAAATTAGAGCATTACTTTTAAAATGAAACATTAATGCCTGTTTGGCATGATTTTTGTTTTTAGTCTTACTTCCTGTAGTAGAGCTTTTAGAGGAAGTAATCTTAATTTTGTTTGGAAACTAATTTTTTAAAGTACTTTTTATTTAAGAAGTATTTTTAGAGAAAGCTACAATGGATCAGTTTTCTTTATACACTATTTTAACCATTAGAAGTACTTTCATAAAATTAATGAAACGAGTCCAATTATAGCTTCTCCGCCTCAAAAGTTCCTTTTGACTTTTCAAAAAGCAATGCAACACGGCTCTAAATTCAGAGGCTTATTTGCCGGTCACATTTATACTCATCATGATGATATGATTAGCCAAAGTCTGTCATCTCTCCTCATGCAATGACCTGAAATCCGGTTAGGAGTGTAAAAGTGGGTCGAGCTTTTGGGTTTGCTCAACTCCACGTTTAAGGTGGACAATACCAAGCTTGGATGTCTAGGCTCGTGGCAAGCACGAGACTTCTTAGAAAAGAGTAAATTTGGCCACGGCCTTTAACAGAGATGTCAGAATGGAGAAGGTTACTACTGCACACGATCTTGAGAGGATGAAGAGCAAATGATATCAAGAGAATTCACACTCAAAACATTTGCATCGTAAGTGACTGCCAATGTCCAATTGTAAAAATATTACTCCATTCAGCATATACCATATGCTACTACATGATATTGCAAGTGTACGAGTGGGAGGAGCCAGAAATTTACGTTGTAAGGGGAAATTTTTATTTATTTATTTTTAAAATGACGTATGAATGGATTTCACTTGTAAACAAAAAAAAAAAAAAAAGAAAAAGAAAAAGAAAAAAATAATAATATAACATTTATCTATTAACATTGTGCCCGATGATGTTTTATAGCATAAAATTCATTTATAATAAAATTTTACATCTAATGTCATAGTAAATTTTCGTTCGGCGTAGAATGTCATAAAATCATCATCTAGTTATGAATTGCCGTCTTCAAATGTTTCATTTTCTCCCATTTTGAAAAAAAAAAAAACACTTAAATATCCTTACAATCCAAATATAATTCATTAGCAACAATCAAACTACTTATCAAATCAACGAACAATCCAACACCAAACTTAATAAATCCTAAATTAAATGCAGATGTAGTGGGATGAATTCTGAAAAGCAACGTTACGAAGAAAACAAATAAAATTGAATCAAATGAGTTGGAAAAAGGATGATCATTTAGCTATCAAAATTATAAAAGGGGTGCATCCATGAGCCGAATCAGCTATCAAAATTGTAATGATTGGGCTGGACATTAAAGTAGAAAAGATGAAATAAATGGGTTTTTGAGTTTGGACAAAAAAAATAGAAACAAAAAATTGATTATAATGATGGGAAAAATACCTTAAACCAGACCTTTAGTTTCACATTTTAAAATTTCAGGTTTTCACGTTTTTTTTTCCATTTATCAGGTTTTTTATCTTTTCAAAAATTTGTTTTTTATCATTTTAATTAAATAAATAATCATTTGAAACCCTAATTTATCCATTTCCCACACAACCCCCCACCCTCGTTTTTCTCTCTTTCCATCATTTATCTCCTCCGCCGCTGTCTCCTCCTCCCTCCCTCCCAACCTTCTCCTCCCTGCCGGAGCGTCGACCACAGCAGCATCGATGCTCAGTGTCGACGCTGCTGTGAATAACAGCAGCGTAGCAGCATGCAGATCATGGGGCGCTGCAGATATGGGTTCTTTCCTCCATTTTTTATCCAGTAAGTGCTACTCTGCCCCCAAATTAGCTCCAGATTGTATGGGCGAGGCGATTTTGTGAAGTTTTCCTGAAATAAGAACTCATTTTCTCCTGAGTTCACTGGTAATTGGTTGGTCAATTACTAAAATCATTCGATATTCATTTTTTGGTTTGAAGGAAGCTTTTGGTTCTGCTCCATCGTGGCTGTGATAATAAAGTGGACGGTTTGGGGGAGGAGGTGGCAGTGGTGGCAATGGTGGTGGGATGGGATGTGGTGGTGGCGAGTGTGATGCTGGAGATGGTGTAGGGAGCTGGTGGTGTAGGATGTTGGCTGTTGGTGGCGAATGCGTGGATCTAATATTTTGGGGGTGGTTGTTCTCTCCACTGTTCTTGAGGTTTTGTGACTAATGAAGTTAACTGTGACCTTAATAAGACATCTGTGACCCCGGAATCGGGTCGTCGTTTTTTGTTATTNGTTTAAATAATCTGTTGTGCTTAATCGCTTCAAACATATCATATTTGTAGTTTCTCTGGTGAAATGGTGAATTTCCTTTTGAGGGGAAGTTAGTATTCAAAGTAGAACCTTATCAGATATATAGGTGTATTCTATTGATTTGTTATGAAGATGCCTTATTCTTCAGTGTAAGAGCAGAGAGGTATGACGGGATAATCTGAAACTTTCCTGGGATTGGATAGTAGCAGTTAGATCCAGGGTTGGAGGCATTGCAGTTGAACTTGATTTTGCACATTTGTTTATCAGTCATTGATCATTATATAGTGTTATGCTTCAAGATGTTTCTTCTTACATTTGACAAGATATAATAATAGTTTTAATCCTAAAGGTATCTCATTGGATATTAGTAGAGGAAGAAGATCTAGTTGAGTTGGTTCCTTGTGTGTAAACAAGATAGGGAGAGTACAATTGCTATGTTGCTTCATTTTTCAAGATTAGGTAGCTTGTTGACAATCTTTTGTGGCAGTCAGCGGATGAGTGAACTGACCCTTTCATTCTAAATATCGATTAACCTCCCTGTTTTTATGATCCTGCATGCTTTATGTCATTCTGCACCAGGAACTATCTATTTTTCACAACTAGTCAGATCAGGAAATTATTTAGAATAACAGAAGCTGGTTGCTTTCTTCCCCATTAATAATTGAACCATGTTTTCTGATCCGTTCCAAAAATTTGAAAAGGGTTTTGTACCTATGCATTAAAATTTGAAATACTCAGAACTCTGATTTGATATGACATGCTATTCGTTGTTGTTGGATTCTTAGGATCTCTTATATTTGTTACTTCCTACCTTTTTTTTCTTTGTAAGATTTTATTCTTGCTTGGTAGGACGTATCTGTAATTTATAGAACAAATTAGTGATGGTAATTATAACTTTCTTATTTCAATGTCTATGGGAAGTCAGTTAAAGTTTATACAAATTGTATTCTGCATCGATATAGGAAAAGCAGAAGTATAATCTGTTTCATGGTATTGGAGTTAGGGCTACCTTCTGCATTTTTGGTCTATCTATGCCAAGCTTCATCCCTAGGACTTGTATTTCTTGTGGCCCTTCATTGCCAATGGCAGAGCTTCTCCTTTCATGTTTTTCCTTTTCTTTTTCTCTCCCCTTTGAATCTCAGCCTGCTTTTTGAGAAAACATCATCATTCCTGTACCACAATGTTTGTGATGGATAACAACTGGAGAGCGGAAGATGTTGTAATAGCTTGAGCTTCTTTCATCAATTTTCTAATATGCCTAGATAATGTTATGTTTAACATATTTCTTTCAGACTGCAAAGCTGAATTTGATCCCTGAGAAAAAAATAAGGAAAACGAGGATATCTCCATTTAACAAGAAAAGTGGTTCAGTGCTGGGAAGAATGGCTACAATGCAGGAAGAGGAGTCTCCAACTTCAGCCGGTATAGAAGAGAGTAACCAAGTGGTGGTTACAAGAGCCAGACCACAGAAGGCTAACAGTAGGAAAGCTACATATGTTCTAAGTGATGATGATTCTGAAGATGCTGCTCTGCAGCTGTAGATTTGGACA